CCGTGTATTGATCTTTCATCAGTACTCATGTTGATTATCTATCTTCTTTGTCGCGCTCTTTCTCATTATTCTTTTACATTTCTTCTTCATTATTCTTCTCTCATTAAGTATATCACTTCTTCTGTCTTCTTTATTCTTCTGCACTCTTCTTCACTACTCTCACCTTATTCATTGTTATTCTCTTCTTATTGTTCATCTTTCATTCAATAAATCGGTGGATCTTCATTCACCATCAGCTCAATTTATCATTGTTCCGACTTTTGCCATTTCACTTTGGCTCCTGGGATTGCATCTAGTTGCTGCACAAGTCCTAGCTGCGTCTCATCCTCCCTCGCTCTGTCCAGAAGTGTCCACTTTTAGCTGACCTCTCTCTCTCCGTTTGCCTGGATGTCCTTTATGGATGGCCCCCAATGAAGTAGTCACCACAATCGCCGTGACAGGTCGCATTGTTTTAGCTTCACATCAATGTTATTATTTGCAACCATGCACAGGATTTCCAGTCAATATTCAAGCATGAATGAACTATACCGATATCTGACTTAAGAACAATGAGACATACCTTTTCCCTCGCCCGTAGCAAATTTCATCTCAAATTTGAGTTTTGATAACAAATGTACTTAAACCGAGTTCTCGTAAAGTTTGGTTCTTCGGATCGAGCTCGGTCTTGACTTCGATACGAAACGCACGAGCACTACTCGACTTTACATTAAACGGTTGAGTTTTGCTAGAAAAATAGGACCCATTTGAATTTCAGACAAACGCGAACTGTTGCGTGCGAACGCTACCAAATCTTTTATTTAGCCGCTCATATTTCGAAGCTACGGTAAATACTCGGTAAATTTTCCTTAATTCAGCTAATGTATCAGAAATGGAGTGCAGATTATTTCTTAAAAACCTTTCTTTTACAGAATAATTTGATGCAAAATTTTAAAAAATTACGGATTTGAATTCTTTAACTCAAAACTCTTGTTAGGTTGTGTCATCATGTATGTATTATCCTTTTCTCTTCTTTAGTTCTATATCAGTACTGTTGTGTAATTGTGTGATGTCATCTTATATGTGTATATTCCATGTATATCTTCTTTCGTTCTACTTTATACTTGGATGCATATATGTTTCCTTTTCTCGTATGTTCTTGTATATTCGTTTATATTCGTTCCCTTTCTCTTTGTATGTTCAAGAACGTTCTCACTGAGCTTCGCGTGAGTTCTTTCCGCTCTATTGCCTTCTGCTGTTTTCGCTCCCTTCCGAACCCATATATATATACCCGTTGTTTTGCAACAATAAATCAGTGTATGGAAATAGAAGCTAATTAGAACGCCTTTTGACAAAGAACTGGTTAGTGGTTCACAACCATCTTCACTCTTTGATCAAACGTTTAAAAAACGATTTTTTTCTCGAAAAGGTCTTCAAATATCCAAAAATATTGGACAGAAAATTTGAAAAAACCAATCACAGATTTGAATTCCTCGACCCCGAAAACCGTTGGTCAAACGTTATAAAAAAAAATTTTTTGTAAAAAAAGTCTTTGTTTCCGTAAAAAATATTAACTAAAAGCTTTCAAAAAACTAATCATAGATTCGAATTCCTCGACCCGAAAACCTTTGGTCAAACTTTATCTCAAGCGCCATGACAAAAATACGAACGAACGAACATACATACGAACGAAGCTAGCTGATTCGGCGTATAACCCTCCTTTCAGTAGAGGGAATTTGATATTTGCCTTCAGAATTTGTTTGAGTCATTTTGATAAACTTTGGATGAGATTGAATCGATTTGAAAGAGGATGAATTTGATTTCAATTCTTCTTCAAAAATTGGAGCACATAATGCAATAACGAATACATTTTGATAAGGAGTAGTTGAGTTTGTGCCTGGCGGAGGAGGACCGATCGAAGGCATAAAATCACTGGTTAACTTCATAACGCTTCCTTTAACACCACCAACCATAACAAAACTAAAGAAATTAAATTAGAAGTTACGCGAAAAAAAAGATAATATCAATGTGAACTTACGTAAAAATGAACAGTAGATATTTATATCGGAATCACTGTCAATATGGAAAATAATAATGATAACTAGAACAAGGAAAAAAACATATATGTGAATTAACTAGTTAGAAATATCCAAATTTTGGCGTTTATTAGAGATAATTTTTTTTCTTAGACTCAATTATCTGACTAATTAAAAAATCGATGCGCACTTTAGAAAATATTTTCATGCAAAAGAGTTAAGTTTCTAACACAATGAACCAATGAGTTTGTGTCAAATTTGATCATAGAAGTGCTCGTGAGATGATGATACTCATTTTATTTGACTTTTTCACACAAATTCACACACAAAACAAAAGATAAAGAATTAACGTTAGTCTAAGCGTAACGGTCACAAAGTCAACAGAGATTAAAATGAAGATGATAAATTACATTTCAATATGAAAAAAAAAACGCCTAGAAATAAAAATATTTCTATGTGATCAATAAATAGAAAAAGTAAAACAATCACTGTTTTCATTTATTCAAATGTTTGATGGTTATTGAATAACATGTCGAAGCATTAAGAAAATCAGAAATCAAGGGTGGCGGAAGGAGGTAAAAGCAGGAGGTGTTTCTCCGAAATCGTAAAATCAAAGAAAGTTCTAGCGTAAGTCTCGAAAGCGGGAGAAGATACCTCCTCCCCTCGTTCACATCGTCCTGTCAGCAATGTCTATTTGAAGGATTCTATTTCGAAATTTTTTAATTAAATTGAATAGTAATAAGCATTCATCAATTCGATTTCGAATGCCAAATATTTGTGTATATCAGCGACCTCTTATAAAGATCTTTATTTATTTCTAAATATCAAATTTGTTAATATAGATAATAAATATGTGCTAAATAATGCTCAATTTAATAAAAATAATTTATTTTTTGAATTATTAGACAGAATAGAAATGCCTATTTCTTGGATGTTCTTTCCAATGGTCGGTAGTTTCTTTTTCTTTTTCTTTATAGAACAAAGACTAAATAACCAATAAGATATTCGTTAAAATCAGCAATTGATTTGCACACTTGTTTATTATTAAGATCATTTGATTTTGAATTCTAGGAGAAAAATAAATAAACGACGACGAATGTCTGCGATAAATGGTTCGATTACATTCGATCTACGAAATCAATTCGAAGATCTACAAAATCAACTTACTACTGGTTCTTATTATGTACAAAATATTCTTGATCTTGCTGATATTAATACACGTTTACAAAGTAATATTAAATTTCATTTAAATAGAATTATGTTTTTTTTTAATGTAGATGTAGTTGTTTCACAAGTTCAAGAACCAAGAGAATTATTTAATATATTTCCATTATTCTACAGTATTGCCATGTAAAAATTTTCCCTTTCTTCTTATTTTTCAATAAGATTATTTTGTTTTTATAGTCATTTTGATAAAGTATCGATTACTGGACGTTCTCGAGCAGTTGAAATCTTACTTCAATGTAAGAATTCTTTTAAAGGGTGTGGGTGTTGGGTGTGAGTGTGGGTGGGTGTCGGTGTGGGTGTGTGGGTGTAGGTGAGTGTGGGTGTGGGTGGGTGTGGGTGTAGGTGGGTGTGGGTGTAGGTGGCTGTGGGTGTGGGTGTGTGGGTGTAAGTGTGGGTGAGAAGGAAGAGAAAAGGCCCACACCCACACCCCACACCCAACCCGATCTCAAATTCTTTGGATTGTTGAATATGTATCTTTGATTTCTGTTAAAGATAAGATAGAAGAATTAGTTTGTTTTCAAAAATTACTTCAGCTTTTAATAAATCATATATTTGATGAATATGTGTTCGAATAATATGTGGAGCAAGTCGAGCCATATCAATAATAAATGTTGCCGTTGTTTTAGCAGATGGATTATCAACTTGTGTACCAACAAAATTAGTTTCACAAATTTCTCTAAATGAATACTTTTATTTTTAAAGAAAATCAATATTAAATAAATAAAACAAACTTTAATAATTGAATAGCTAATGATGTATCTTGATAATCAAGCAAAAGTGAATTAATAACAGTTGTAAGTAAACTTGAATTATTATCATAATGTTTAACTGCTTGAATAAATTGAATAGAAGCTTCTAAAATCAAAAGTAATCTTATTTAATTTATTTTTATTTAAATTAACCTGGTGCATGTTCAAATTCATTAATCATAATAATAAGAATTAATGGAAGATTTTCTTTAACAATTGGATTTTTTGAAATATCTTCTCGACGAAGTAAATGATAACATGGTTTAGTTGCACATCTTTTAAAGAAAATTTTTATGATTAAATAGGGTGTTGGTGTGGGTGAGTGGGTGTGGGTGTGGGTGGGTGTGTGGGTGTGGGTGGGTGTGGGTGTGGGTGTGTGGATGTGAATGATTTAAAAAGAACAACACCCACACCCTTTTGCACCATTTCAAAATGCTCAACAACTTGTGATCGTATTTCAACAGGTAAGATCCACATTAAGGCAAAATTTATTGAGACTCAGTAAGAAGAAAATGTTTCTTTCATTAACTCTTTGAGATGGCAATTGAATCATGTCATTTATTTAATTTTCATGCATCATGAAGAAAATGATAAAATTAGCACTAAACAATGTGTGAATGTACTTAAGAGTTACGTAGATTTAGGTACAATAAACAAAATAGATATTGAACCAAAGCATAAGATACTCAACTTTATTGTATTGAACAGATCTTATTGTAAGTTAAAATTTATTTTTTTGTCAAATCACTATGATATATTTCGTCTTGGCATGAACTGATTTTAAAGAGAATGTATTTTAATAGTTGAGAATTTTTGACTACAGACAAAGCTCAAGAGATTGGATCCGAATAACTTGTTATAAAGACTTTGTTATTACTATAACGTATAGTGATATAGATCGCATATTTTACGGATGAAAGATAAGTGTTAACTGCACAATATTTAAATTGATTTCACTTTATAATTTTCAAGTTCGAATCGATTCTATGTATGCTAATCCACATAGATGGTCGTCAGCCTTTTTCTAGGCTGCAGATTCAAATCTAAATATAGTAAATCCATAGATATCTAAAGTTTTTTGCTGAAAACTGATAGGAAAATAAACTTGTAAGCTTTCATCTGAGAATGACCCCAGTTTCAAGTGTAGGTACTTTGCTGATTCCATGTTCTTAAAGTTTTATACAACGTAGTATGCTTTGAAACAGGTACATCTCAACAAAGTTGTATTAATAACGATAGGAAGTATTTGTTTTGATTTGGATGCCTCTTATTAGATATTTCTAGAGAAAACGCTTGAATCTCGTTTTCGGACGAAAATCAATAATAGTACTCATTATTTAATATTTAAATGTTCTTTTTTTTGTAGGCTATGTCCAAGTCTCACTGAATTTAGGATTGGCATTGAATTGTTTCTGTCTTTCGCTTTATTCGATAGTTCATCGCTTATTTCCGTTTTCAATCAGTTACAAAGACTAGAATTAATAAGAGATAATGTCTATTTTTCTTTAAAATATGCATCAAAATTAATTCAACATTTTCCCTCACTTACAAATATTGAACTTCAGGCATATTCATTTGATCCATGTGCACGTCTTGCTGATATTCTTCTTGACGGATTGGTCAATTTGCTTCATCTGAAAAAATACTTTGTCAAAGATATACCTCAGGTCGAACCTATCCAATAGGATCCCATCGGATCCATAAAACATCCGACAATATCCGACCGTCGGATCCGACAGGATGTCGATAGTCGGAATCCCATGATATCCTATGGTTTCCGACGTTTTCCGACTCTAGGATACCCTAGGATTCCAATAGCAGGATCCGTCGTACTCCGACAGTTGGAAACCCGTCGGATCCGACAAAATCCGACAGCACCTATTGGTATCTATGTCACCAACATCAATGTTGAAAATAAACCTGAAATCCAACCAGAAAAATAGCAAAGTCTTTCTTAATGCTGGAATTACAGATTGAGGAAAATTCGTGAAATCTAAACTGTTATTATTCTGGGATAAACCAAGCCTTTTCTAATCGACATGACATCCATTAACATTTTTTTGATTTGATGAAGTAGATGAAGAAAAGGCAAAGTGTACAAAAGCCTATTTTATTTAGTATATTTGAAATATTTCGAAGTTTCTTATCATTATTTCTTCCTTCATAAGTTAGTTTTCTATTTTCTACTGTTTGTAGAAATTTTTTCGGATAACTCGTCTTTGATATCAAAATACTTCTTTTTCTCGCACATTAATTTCACGAAAAACGACTTTCATTCTTCTTTTTATTAGAGATTTTTTTATATTGTTTTTTCTAAATTATTCCCTTCCAATGTGACGTTGTAAGCTCATCAGATTTTTCATGAAAAGTTTTTGTTTATATTATATGTGTCAGCGTCCAAACTGAAATTACGTCCAATGTTGCATTGACGTTATTCTGTTCACAAAAATATCAGCTACTCTTTCCATAGACGTTGGATTCGAATTCAATTCGAACTATTTTTTGGAATTATTTTCGCACGATGCCGCTTTAAGTATTACAAGTATTTAGGAAGAAACTAAATTAAGATTCAAAAGAATAATCAAAAGTTTTTACGAAAGTTGTTCTTTTCTAGAGGTTTATTCATCACCCCTAAAATTTTATTCACATCTATCAAATGAGAATTGTGTCCAAGAAACTGCCATTGCGTAAACATAAGTCAAAAAAATTCGAATCAAGCGTCTATCTAAAGAGTGATCGATATTTTTGTAAACAAAACCGTGTCAATTCGAGATTGGACGCGTCCAACTGCGGATCCTACTTTCGCCTAGGCCAATCTGAAATTGCACGTAATATCAGTTTGGACGCTGACATATATATTGACACTTATCCATTTTAGATTATGATGTTGTATAAAAATTATAGTAAAGTATGTTTTTTTTATTAGCTGGTTATTTTCTTGTTGCTTCAATTATTTGTTTTGAATGGATATGGTGAGTGAATTTTTTGGAAATAATTTTTCTCATGTTCAATGATTCTTTAAAGTTTAACAAAACTGATGTATATAGAAAATAACATAGGCAAAAAAATTGGTAAAATAGCATTTCTTAATTTTCATTAGATAGGAAGATTTTGTTGAATTGTAACGAAGTAATAACATTCGATTTGTTTGTTTTTTTCATATTCAAATAGATCTGGATTTTCTGAGCGAGAATATCATCTTAAAAGTTATTGTTATCTTCATTCTATATTTGCATTTTTTGTGTAGATGGATATTGATCTAGAAGATGCATTTCAATTGTCCTGCGAAAAGTTTCAACAGCGTTTAAAAAAGAAAAGAGAGAATTCTCGTCGATCTCGTTTAATATCATGAAGGCATTGAGTTAAATTCTTCAGAATTAATTTCTTCGTCTTCATGTTCATCATCGACAATAGATAAGCCGCCTACGTTTCTTTCGCTCACTGATGTCGACACTCCAAATGATGAAGATGACTTAATATATTTCGATATTGATGAAGATATTCAATCGGTTAATAGTATCGAGGAAATCGACAAATCGGTAGTTTTAAATTTATGTGATGATCCTGATAAAATGGTTGAACAAGAAGTTTCATTTTATTCTACCGAAGTTCTTCATCCATATACTGAAACACTTACAAATACATTTTGTTATCGTCTTGTTAATATTTTTCGTGCATCTAGACTGTCAAAAACCGAATGTCGTACATTTTTTGATCTCATTCATTCTGCTCTACCAAATCCCAACAATTTACCATCCAACATGAACCAATTATTGTCAATGTTTCAATTGAAACATAACTTATTTAAAAAAAGAAAAATTTGTCTTTTATGTTATAAAAAAATAGGTGATGATGTAGGCTTTTGTTCTGATTGTCCAACGTCCAATGAAGCTACTACTGCTATTATTTATGATTCAGATATTAAATCCATTCTTTCGTTATTATTGAAAAAGCTTTGGAAAAAAATTCGCTCATACAAAGAAGAACTTCAAGCAAACAATGATGCATCGTATACCAGTGATATTGGTTTTGCTTATGCTTATCAAAATTTATTACGTCAATTTTCTAATGAAACTTTTATTTAACTTTTTCTTTTTGTGTGTAATTGATTTAAAAATTATCAGATAGTCAAAATAAATAAAAGCTGATGAACCAAAGATATCTTCAGTAGTATATGAATTTGTGCATTATCCATTAAAAATAAAAAGTTGAGACTGAAACATCAGTACTGCAAACAGAATCAAGCTCGGTTATGAAAATAAAACCTCATCGGATCTTGTGGGTTCCAATATTTTCCGATTGACGGATCCAACTATCGGAAATCGTCGGATCCGACATCCGACAACTTCCTGTCGGAATCCTGCACCAAGGATTCCGATGATTTCCGACAAGATCCTATCGGAAGTTGTCGGATCCCTGTCGGAAATCATGGGTTTATTTGGGATATCCTATCGGATCCTGTCGGATCCAAGACTGGGATTGTTCGACCTGGGACCATTCGACAACTTCAACGAAGATCGCGTCGTTGTCATACTTCAGGAACAATCATTGGAAATTTATCTCGAAGGACTTCATCCATCAATGCTTTTTTTTCTTCTTGAACAAGTGTTAAATAAAACAAAGTGAATGGGTAATCTATTCTGAAAAGTGAATGCGTAGTCAAAGAAAAACCTGTCTGCCATAGAGAAAATCAGTTCTGTACACGATATAAATGTTTTACCAAACGACTTCTCCTTGTTTTTCTTTAATTCTTCAAGATCATGATAGAATCAATCTCGTGTGACTTGTTTCGTATTTAGGTAGTCATGAAATTGTTTTCTTCACTATAGTACAATCGAGAGAAGTCGATATAAGTATATATGTCACCATAAGTTCAGGTTGAATCATTGTGAACAACATGCCACATCCACTCAATGTTTACATTCGAAAACTCAGGAATCCAATTACTAAATCAATATCAATCATTTACATCTTTTGTTTTTTTACGAAAACGCGTCATCCATCTTAGCTGTTCGATACGAAAGTATTAGATCCTATTGTTGTTGTACGTCCGTCAATGATCTTTACATTTATGTCCAAAATTATGCTCATTTTTATACTGCATCGATTGAATTCATCGTCAATTTTCCTTTTTTCATTTTTTTTTTTGCAATGATATTGTATCCGAAAGAATATTAGAACTTAATCGAAACTAGATTTATTATATACATTATAGACACAAACAGACATTGTAATATTTATTCGCACAACTAATTCTTCAACATCAATTGGTTTATAAGGGCGCCAGGAACATTGACCGAACATTTGAATAAATCTAAGCATTTAGTAATTTTTTTTGCCTTGCGTTTCGTGACGAACAAACGAACGACTAGAGGACGTAAACAGATTCAAACATGTAAACAAACGAGGATAATTCGGTCTATGTATGTCCTTCGTTTCAGTTCAGAGAATATTCGTTTCTATCTATTTAATAGTATTCAGCAAGAACATACATTATTGTCACTTATTATTTTATGTTGCAGTGTAAAATACCATTGTTTCTTGTGCTTTAGTCTAGTCTTAAATGTACATATATATTATGTCTGATGCGAATACGAAAAAAAGATGAATAGATTGCAAAGAGATACGCAGAAAATTCGATTAAATTGGAACAAAAAAAGAGACCGAGTCAAATACATCAGTCAGACGTATTTAATGGACAGGATGAATAAGAGAATATATATGAATAGATGACACGAAAATGTGTAGGAAACAAGTGATAATGATAGGTTTACAACTATACTAGGAGAGCATACTGATAGTAAAATTCAGTCACTATTTTACAGCATTTGATTTTAAATAACCTAGAAAGAACGTTCATAGATTATTCTTGTTTGTATTTCAGATGTAGCGCTTCATTTTTTCTGATTTATGTGTTCCTTCACCCCATGTGGTAAGCTACAAGTTATATTTTGCAGTTCTCATCTTAAAATATTATTATCATTTGATAGTTGTTTATTTCTACCATTTCTCTTTTTCTTTAGGAGGATGTTGTTTAGCGTGTGGATTTGGGTGCGTGGGTGTGGGTGTGGGTATGGCTGTGCTTTTTCGCTTCACCCACACCCCACACTCTCCAACAATCCTCTGTATCTTCGTTTTATCTATGTCATTCAACGTGTTCTCTGTTTTTGTGAATGACTAATTTTCTTTTCGTCTCTACTGTATCCTACTGTTATCTTTTTATTCATAGCATCTGGTTCTTTACAATGATCGATTCCTAAGATGACTTGATATAAAATAGAAATATCCATGGTCGATAAATCCGATAATATTTAATAAATATTTTCATGTCTAATAAACAATAAAATTTAGAGTAATTTCACAATCCGATCTACGTTATGTCGTAATGACCGCTTTATATACATATGTATTTTTAGGCCAATGAAGTTTTGCCGTCGTATTAGAAAAGAGATGTTGCTTTTACTACGATGTAGGCGCTGCCTTAGATACTCAGTCTTGCTTTCACAGACTTCTACGCTTTATTTCATTTGTCAAAATCACCATAAGACATTTTTAAATTAAACAATATAGTTCCGGAACAGAAA